GGGAAAGCTGATTCTCCGACCTAAGAGAAGCCTTTCAATTAACTATTTATTCCACGAACGTAGAAAGCATTTCTGGCTACCGTTGTTAACTGGAAAACGTTTATTAACTTCTGGACCATTGATGGATTTGCAATCAATTTCTCCATTTTTCTCCCATCGCTAGAACGTTCAATTCTTATCTGTCTCAAGCTTTAACATCTTAAAAACTTCTGCAAAATATTTACTGCCTTAATATCGGAGCATGTAGGTTGTATTGACCACAGCGAATAGATTTTTATGTGAAGAAGACGTGGTCTCCTACTTCTGTGTCCCCGAGTGTAATAATATTAGGGTCTGAGCACGTCAAGATTTTTAGTTAACTCCGTAAGCGCTCCTAGGAATAGTTAGATGTAGTCAAAGGCAGGATCTAGAGATCAAGAAACATGTCAGAGTCGCTAATGCTTCTTTATTTGTTTACATTCTCCGTTTCCGAAAATAAATCGACAGCTTACAAAAGATCATAGAATAAAATATTCAAGTTCATTTAATGTGGATAAAATTCAAGGCAGAGAGCAAGTACGCGTGTGAAGACGCCAAGGCCCACCCACCCCCTGGACTGGCAGCCGACACGAAGGCCACAGCACAGGTCCCCAAGCAGAGCACACGGGACCGGAGGAGGCTGCTGGGGAGAGGCTGGGGGTGGGACGCGGTGGGTCCCCTGGGGGCTCCGCCACCCCGGGAGCATCCCGGTGGACGTACCTGGGAGAGGCAGGGGTCCCCACGCTCGGTCTGTCCTGTACAGTCGCTGTCATTTCAAATACTGAGGTTCACGGACGCGTCTCTCAAGGACAGCGTGGCTTCCTAGCTGCTGCCTTTGCCTTCCCAGAGAGTCGAACCGCTTTTTAAAAATTCAACGGGCGACCCGCAGAAGCGAGCTGAGAACGCGGCCTCCTCCTCCTCCTCCTCCCATAAGGCTGGGGGCTGAGTGGGGACCCTCTTGGTCAGGGCCACCTCCGAGTCGCTCATCCAAACACCCGGCTTCTCGTAAGCAGCTTCTGCAGGGGCCTGTGGGGGTTTGGTGGCCCGAGTCGCTCTCGCCTTCTTGCTACTAGTTTCCAAAGCTCAGTTTCTGTGGAGGCGAAATCGCGTCGCGGTCCCCAGGGCAGTGTGGGGACCATGGCGAGGACAGGCCCCGCCTGGACCACGTGCGCTGTCCCCGTGTGGCTGTGGATGCCGTGCTCTCTCGAAAGCTCCAACGGTCTGAACGACGTGTGAGCTGTTGTCCCCGTTATCCAGACTCAGACACCGGGACAGAGGGGTTCAAAAGTGTGCCCAAGTCTCTGCAGGTGACAAACAGGACAGCAGGGATTGGCAAGTGGACGGAACGGTTCTGGGGTTAAGTACCAACTGCTGCTGCCCCAGCCGGCGTGGCCGTGGGCTGGGCACTCGTGCCGGAGGGACCTTTAGGGACAGGGGTCTGAGTTCAGAGCCGGGGAGACCCGACTTTGAAAAAGGCACTGGCATGTAGCGCTCAACGTGACACCATATCCCTAAGCTCCGCTTTCCGCGTTCGTAAAAGGGCAATAGCGTCAGGCCTTCCAGATACGGTGTGTGACGCAGCCGCCACACAGCAGGCGCCCCTCGCTGGCGGCCACCTTCACACACAGACGCGCGCCGGCCGCTCTTGCGCAGAGCTCCGCCTCACCTGCTTCTCAGGTGGCCGCTTCCCAGACTCCGAGGAACCCGCAGTCACGGAGGCAGGGGGGCCGTAGAGCTGTTCGCTGTCATTTAAGTGGGAGTGGCTTTAGATCCGTGTGTGATTTGAAGAGAAACCCATGACGATTGTGCCGAGAAATCTCTCATTTTCAAAGGCCTCGAGTAGATCGTTTTCTTGTCACCGAAATGATCTAAATAAAGAACGTGGACCGGATGCAGCCACTCCGGCCCCTTCAGGCCTGTCCCCCTCGGAGGCCAGTCCCAGTGACACGGAGAGCGTTGCAGGGCCACTTTCCAGCTGCACTCGTGTAGATGAGACACTTCGCGTTCGTCAACCGTAAATGAGATGACGGTCACTCACATTCCAAGCCTGTATCTTAAAGTGGAAAAATAAAGTTTCACCATCCGGAGACTGTAGGAAAGAACGAGAAGGTGCGTTGCATCGAGCCTGTGGTCACGGCCCAGCTCGGTTCGGGAACTCGATCGTGGGCCCGCATCTGCTCCCCGACAAACAGCAGCTTCTGCGCTGGCCTCTGCTAATTAGTATGGTTATTTCCCGTTTCGTGGACGAGGCTTAAAGCAATGTCAAGGGGGCGGCCGCAGAGATCTCTCGATTAGGCTTCCCATTTGTACGACCCGGCCCTTCTCCCTTGGAGCGAAGGTGACAGCCCCTGCAGCTGCCCCCTCCTAACAGGACTCTGGGGAGAGGAACCCCTCCGCTTTGATTGAAAACAGGGCCAGCGGCCGCCGGGGAGAACGCTGCCATCGGTCATGGCACAGGGCAGTTTTTAAACTGACCACGTACTTACCTGCTCACGTCGATTTTACCTTCGAACAAAATGCCGCGGACTCGTTGAACAGGGTTTAGACTAAGCCTGTCTGTCATCCGGAATCACGTTTCACAATAGCGACTTGTGAAAATCTTCTAAGAATGAGAAGTTCTTGAAGTATGGAAAATTTATATGACTCTAAGGCGCTGCTTCGTTTTAAATCGTAGCAGCCATTCTTATTCTAGGAATCATTGGAACGTGTGTGCGTGTGTGCGTGTGCGTGTGCGTGTGTGTGTGTGTGTGCGTGTGCGCGCACTTGCTGTATCACAAGTCGTTGTTATTTGTTGGGTAGGCTTCAGCCAGCAAAACGCCAGCACCAAGCTCCAGTGGAGGCAGAGGGTCGAAGCTTCCTGTCGTTAAGCCCTATTAAACCTTGGCACATGTCACTCTTGACGATCTCGTGTCTGGGACAAATTGCGATCCGCTCCGATTTATTTTCAAGCTAACCGGTTAATGATGTAAAATCTGCCAGAGGGAGCGCGAGCAGAGGGTCGTTTTTCCGTTTGCAGCGTGATAGACAACAGCGTTCCTGTTGGCAGGTGCCCACACCTGGAACGAGTCTGAGGCTTTCGCCCAAATGCAGCGTTTGCAAAGAGAAACGCGTTTGGCAGCCGCGGTTTCTACTGAGAAGACCAAGTCCTCTTCAACTCACGGTCGTTTATTCTGTTTTTAAAGTACATTCACACAGATGCTAGTGGTTGGAGATATAAATGGTTATTTTTTCGAATGCATAACGAATGAAGATGTTTACTCTATGAAATATGATCCAGTGGTTTTCCACTTTTTACTCATTATGCGAGGTAACACGCACACTTCAAACGAGACTTAGCTGTATTTTCGAGTCCTCTTGTATTTATTGGTTATCAATCATCCTCACGGACCCGTGAAATATAGCACAACAGCCGTGAGCTCATAATTGATGAGTAACGTGATTCCTTCTTTAAAGGATATGGTTAGACATCCTCTAGGCATTTTTGGCATGTAGAGACTTGCAAATTAGGCATTTCGAAGCCACATTTTGGTTGAACGGAGACTTAAAAGACATCCCAGGATGTAAGCATGTTTTAAAAAAATATTAGTAATCAAGCAGTTTCCGTTTTCCATATAATAGATCTCATGTTTTAAAATGCCGCAGATGAAACTGTGAAATTTATAAGATAAAAACTTAGATTCTCTACGTTACCCAGCTCCTGAGCATAATAAATGGGTGCATATTCACACCTCGTAGGGTGTGGATTGTGGAATTGTGTTGATGACACACTTCTCTTCATTGACGTTCAGTGGCTTCTGGGAATAAAATGAATGTAATTAAAGATAGTATTTCTTGCTTCGGCGACATAGCAGATTTCAGAAAAATGGTGCACTCGTTGGAAAAATGCAGCCCGTTGAATCGCCTTGCTTTATTGGTCAAGAGAAAAAAGGCATAGTCATTACTTTGCA